TTGCAAGGGAGCTCAAGGACTTTAGAAAAAGCAATGTATTTTATCTTTCTTCGTTCTCACAAACAATTTAGATTTAAATATCTTTTTTTTTTTTGTTTTAATTAAGGGAACTAACCTGAATTTTGGACTTGGTGTGAGGCTATTCAGTAGCAGTAGTGACCATGAGCTAAACCTGAGACCGTACAAGCAAGAAGCTGTTGTCACAAAACCCCTCCTCTAATTCCTCATAGAAATGTTTTGTATTCATTTGCAAGACAAACTGCAGCTCTGATCTGATCTGCACCAAGTTTTGACATTTTGCATAAGCAAGATGGACAGAAATAGTCGATAGATATAAGAAGTTCTTGTTTCATACACAGACATCACAATCCACCAAAGCTTAATTTACAGAACATCTATTGTCAAAGTAATTTAGAGACTCAAGGTAGCAAGCTGCACCATGGAATAGTTTATGATGGAATACCTATAGATTATGAATTTGTCAGCTTTCAAAAAAAGAGATATTATGCATTTTTCAAATAATATGAATGTATGAATAGATCACCTGGGCTGAGTCAGATAAGCTGTCCTGAGGCAACAAATGCACCTTTGTTTACTGAAATACTATCCACAAACCCACATTTCTGGATAAAGGCAAAAGTTGAAAAATGTTATAAAATCCACCTTCAGACTTCAGAAGCCTTGAAAGAAAATGAACTGCAATTAGAGAGAAAAAACACTAAATAGTTTACCAAACAAGAATATAACTTGTAACTTTCATAGTCTCCTGAAGAGTTGAGTAGATTGAAAGCAGAGGAAAAATCACTGATTGTTTGCTTGGAATATAAAAGCCCTTCACAAAGCAGTTGTCATGCTACCTTGTGTAGGACCCTTAATACACAACCCTCTCTTGCCATACCATGTACTGTTCCTAACATTTCAGACCTTTTGTACTGATACATGTGCATCAGAAAAAATCAAGAGACCTAAGAGAGTAATGTTTAAGTGACTGGGATGAGGAAGAGGGGGCACTGCAAATATCCTCCTCTTCCCATTTTGGCTCCTCTTTTCCTTTAAATGCTGTCACTATTGATAAGGTAAAGTTGAGATCAGAACACTGGAGCAGCGTAGGAAGAATAAAAGGACAGGGAATGGTGGGCTTGTCACAATTGTGAAGTCTTTATTAACAAAAGAAAGTTGTTAGTTCTTTCACTTTTAGCTCAGAAAATAAAAACCAAACAATGTCTGTTTCTACCGAAGTAGGAAACTGTGAATTGGACAATGCAGCTGGAAAAGGGAAGAGGCTCTTCCAAAGAAGTGAGTTGTCAGATGGTTCAGTCAGTCCTCCCTTGAAACCTCACCCTTAGGTAAGTTAAAATGGATAGTAAAACACTGGCTGAAGAGAGTGATGATGCATAGCTATGGCTTCTGACTGTCATCCTCCTGACAACTGCCATAGATGACTATGCCACCCTGAGGAGCAGATTGCTTTGCACCACTTGGATTTCTGCATGCTAAGGGTGTAGTCCCATAATCTTTGATACCAGAAGAGTTCACACTACAAATCAGATACAGATCAGATATCTGGTTTCCATCAGATTCAGAACTTATGTGATTGTTTAGGCAGTAAGAGGAAAAGGTAGCATAATAGAAACAGACACACTATAAAGCCTTTTCAAGGACTCCTTTTGTTGCTTAAAAAAAGAGTTGTGACCACATATCAGGAGAACACTTTGCAGCACGTAGCCGTAACATTCTTCCTCCAGTACTAGGTAGCCCCAAACTATATTTAGCCTCCTCTATAACCATAGTGTCAGCTGTAGATAAAGCAGACTGAAACAACCTGTAAAAGCTCACAATTGACTTTATGCACCATTGGAACCCACGCATTACAGCAAAACTTAACAGGGACTGTAAGAAAAAACACAGATCTCAATTATTCTAATACTCTACCATTTACTGAGAAACACTTTCAAAACCACCCGTCAATACATTTGCTTGACCTAGTCTCCAGAATTTCCTCCTCCTTAAAAATGCTGTAACTGCATGGTGGCTGCACTGAGAGTTGCTAATGCCACAGGAGGAGAGGTGGCTGATGAGATCATCACTTCAGGAACAGGACCATCTGACACAGCCTCGCCTTCACCAGCCACTTGTTCCTGGTCTTCTATTGCCTCCTACTGACACTGCTTTTTGTACTGTGCAGCTGTAAACCAATCCAGCTGAAAAAAAATAGTGGAAATAGAATATTTTCAGTGTATCTTAGCTAATTGTCCCTCAACCCACTTGACTAAACAGCGCGGAGGTGTCCGAGAGCACCGAGTTACCAGAAAAGCCCAGGAACTGCACCACCACACCTGCCACTAGTTATTTTGGGCATCTGAAATAATCCACTTTGAAAACCAAGTCCTGCATTATGGGTCAAAACAGGGTAGACCTTGTCATCTTTTCAGGAAACTGCTGACAGTGTGCAGGACGTTTAGCAATTTGCTAATGCATTTTTAATACTGTATACACACACACACATCTTATACACATAACCATTCCAGCAAAACGACAGTATTTAATTATTTCAGTGCTGGCTTTTATGCTTGTACTTCTAAAGTGTCTACATTATTTCCCCTACGTTTTGTACACAGCTTCTTGTGAAATACAGCTACTACAGCACTTCGCAGGTAGGTGGCAGAGTTACAGTGGCTGGAAGTTTCAACCAACAGTTTCATAATAGCACAATTACAGAACTAAAAAAAACCAAAACAAAGCACAACTCTGACAATGCCATTTAAGTTCTACAATTACATTTATATCAGTTTGTTTAATCAACTGCAACCTTTTCTCACTCAATCACAACCTAAAGAAATTTTTGACAAAGACCAATGAAATATGGTATTATTAGAATGCTGTTTAGAAGATCGATTACTGCTTTGAAAATCTAAGGACTTTTAAAATATGTATTTCAGCCAAAATCAAGTATGTTTAAATTAACTTTCTATTGTAAAGAAACATGAATTATTTTTTCCATCAACTCAAACAGAAACGTGTTTTAGATTCAACAATATGAATCATTCAATGGCAACTAAAAGTTTGGTATTTTCATATAAAAATCAGAGTTGCTCAAAGCAGATCTAAAGCAAATTACAAATAACAAACTTACAGCACCCATATATAATATGTGTTCAAAGCCTCAGAAGGTAGAACTTCCCTGCTGTATCCATGAGGTTACATCCGTGCTGCACATTCAGCGAGGTTCCTGCTCTCTGTCTACAAGCAAGCTTTTAACCTGGATTACAGATCCCACCCAACCAGGCTCTCAAAAATCTTTTGTGGCCCATTGAGAGCTTTGCCTCACCCAAGTGAGTTGTGACATTGTACACAATACACTGGTACTTGACTAAGAGCTACCTTCCAGTAAAGACTGGGGTTTATTCCTTCCTTATCCTCTGTTTTACCTCAAAATCAAACAGGATGTCTTAAAATATCTGTAGTTTAAGTGAACATTTGACTTTATCCTGGACACTGTGAAGGAAATACCTCACACAGTCAGTATTATTTCAGGAAGGAAGCAACTGCTAAATAAAAGATCAGGGCAGCATCTGCAGTCTCTCACTTGAGATTCAAATTTTTAATCTGGTCACAAAAGCAACAGATTAATAAATCCACACAACAAAGATCAAGGCCAGGTCATAAAAGCACAAATAATAGACTATATAGTTGTGAAAATCATATTCTCTTATGGCAGAAGGAGTTAAGAGGCAGAACTGAAACAGAGCGAGGAGAGGGTATGGCAAGTGCAGCAGTGGCAGGCTTGACAAATGAGGCAGAGTATGGCTGTGCACCTAAACAATAAGCTGACTCTGAAGCTGGACCTTTAAACAGGAGTTATTTTGCCAGTTTGATTACCTCCACTCAGGACAATCAGCCTGCCTTCCCACTGGCAGCTGCTTGAAAGTTATCTGGTTTACAAACAAGCATATTAAAAATAGCACTGTGCTTACTCTACAGAAAAAAACAAACAACTTTTTTTTCACATTTAAACCCAAGAAACTCCCTCCACAATTCCCCACAACACGCATTAAGCAAAATAAAACCTACATCATTAAAATAGTAAAGAAATAAAACCTGACTGTTCATTCCATTCCATTCCTGGTTAAACACATCCATGAACACTTTTCTCTGCATGAATCAATTTTAAAGTAGTCCTAATCTAAATGCTAACATTTAGATAAGTTTGATACCAAAATCTAGACCCATTTGTCTAATAAAACAAAAAAAAAAAGAGAGTAGCAGCTGTTTTTTACCAGGACTATTACCAATTTAATGGAAATATTTTTCAAGTACAAAGATGTTAATGGCATGTAATTTGGTAATATGTGATCTATACATCTTACCAGTTCTCATTAACTGTCAATGTACGTGAAAACAGAAGATGCATTGGTATTTCCTCCAACACCTGTATAGTTCTTTACCTGAACAACAAAGTACGTTTCCTGTAACAGGAATAATAAACACACTGTATTTTTCCAGAAAAACTAAATTTTCTCTTACTTTTGAGTTCTTCTTATTTGATTTTAGCACACTACAACCTACTGTAATTACTTTGAAAAGAACAGGTCTCCTTTCCTATGCCCAAGTTATCACAACAGACACGTACCACAATTTGTGGACAATTACAGAATGTGGATCCCATCTTGGAGGAAGCTGGGCAAAGATTATGCCCTGTATTGATGACTGATACTTAAAAAGACTACACACTGCAGGACCACTACTATAATTATTTCCATCCTTGAAATGAGAGACATTTATGTGAGAGACATAAATGTGTTTTAAAAAAACACAAAGCTTTCAGGGCAACTAACTCTTCCATCTGTCATCACATGTTATTGCCAACTAATACACACCCAACTGTAGCTAATCACATAAATGGCATTTAATATGCAATCATGCAGGATTTTAACCTATGCACACATCATAATGCATGATAGATGAGTACCATTTTAAGAGGCATAAAAGTCTACTGAAAGTACATATGGAAGATTATTGTTTATTTTACTAAAACTTGGAAAAGATCTTAAACAAATTTATTTTATTTCCATTTTGTGCATTTGCGTTCTCTAATTTTAATAATAAAAGAATCAGTCTTACTTTCAATTATTTAGGTCCTACATTATTTCTGTTGCAAACAGCAGTGAAATGTTTTTTGTTCTCTTTGTGAATTAAAGTCAGACTGGTACTCTTTTTACTTGCAGAAGTTTCATGAAGGCTTGTTGTTGACTCCAGCACATAAAATTTTTGAAGTTACATGCGCAAAGTCCATTGTCGCTAATTATCAGATGTTAAAAGCAACATGAATCAGAGCAAGAAAAGTAATTTTACAGAAGGATTTAAAGGATACAGTAAGCTTACAGAATCCTTTGGTTATGTTTACTAAAAGAGAAGTTATACTGACAAAGACCACAGTACAAAAAAAATTTGGTTTAATTATTTTCAGGATTTCCTTTAGTGTTTTTGGTGTTCACAACATAAAAGATGAAAACCCTCCCCCCTTAAGAAAATAGATATCCACAGACAATTAGTCTACTCAAAGGTTCTCATCTCGCTTTTTAAGTACAGGAGACACCAAGCTGATACTTGTTTCATCACTTGCTGGCCTAAGAGTCTCTTCACATTCCATTCGACACAGTAAATTATACTCAGTGACCAAGCACAAAATATGTGGGAAATTTATTGAGTAAAATATTCATGATCTTACAAAACTGATTTTACCAGACAAGGCCTTTGGCCAATTTTGATTTTTTTTTCCCTTTTACACGTTGTGCCTTAAGCTTCTTTCTTTGCCTGGAATTCATCCATATCGGGTACTGCCCATGCTGGTCTAGAAGAGTTTTTTTGTTCCGTTTATTATCCAAGTCCATTTTGCAGTCATCTGAAAATGAAAGGTATTTATAGTGAGTAAAATATGAATCAGCTTCATAGATGCTCTTTTGTTATTAGATTCCCCAAAATATCCCCTAGACACAACAGTATTTGTACATAGAAAGCTGAAGGGTTTATATACAGAAATCACTTTCCAAACCAATACAACTGCAACCCAGGGACTTCAACAGTTGATAGTAAATGTGCAGAATTTTACCTAAAGGCCCTTCTGGGCAAAGCATCTTATTCTTTAGTCTGCTGTCTGTTCCAATATTGTGTTTAAAAATATTGTGCGTGGTCTCCACCACAGAGACACGCAACCATAGCTCACTCTCAAAAACAGCATCCCTAGCTAGCTAACACCCCATGAGCATCGTGTCTTGGGGAAACAACAAGGCTCCAAGAGGAACATCTTGCTAAGTACTGGTTGGAACTGTGCTCTGTAATTTTATTTCAACCTTGTTTCCAAGCCACCCGTATGCAACTCAAAGCTTTATCACATTGTGCCTTGTATGTTGTTAGGAGATAAAGCTCATGAGGAAAAGGCCAGTGTGCTGCTTCTATGGTTGTAGCATTGCTGATAGTCTACACCACAAGAATCTGCACCACAGATGTGCTTAGGGAGCCCTAAGTTGGGATACAAATACTTGTAGTCGGCAGAGAATCAGCCCAGGGCCCTACTGCCTAGTCCCTGATGGCAGAATCAAAGGCTGACCCAGCATGGGACAGGCAGCAAAAAATGTTCCAGCTCCAGAAACCTCACAAGGTATCAGAGAAACACGAGGCTTTCTTCACAGTGTGGTTTTCCAAATGACAGAGGAGATACAGCCTCCAATAATACAACAAAAACCCAGCAGCACATACATAAGATGCTTCTCCAATTCCTGTCCTATCACACACCAGGTTAATCTGTTATACAGATTAAAAGCACATCCACAATAAATGTCTGCTGCAACATAAACTAAATGAATACTCGTGGACAAAAAATACCAGTTGTTCACATAGCACAATGTTTTCATTGTATTTTGCAACCTCAGGGATGCTGTAGGAATCAATAACAGGAAGAAACCCACTGAGCAGAAGTTGTCCAGGGACATACAGAAAATCTATCAAGAGGGTTAAAGACAGAGAGAAGGACCAAGAAAAAACACTATAAAGGTCGGTTATTGAAACAGACTCAATAGATACGACTATCTTGAAAACTATGTACATCCCCACAAAGTTTAAACTACAGCTACAAAACCACTACTGACCAAAGGCTAACCAGACCTTCCATTATTTATTTTCTAACAACAAAAACTGGGAGAAAAAAAAAAATCACAGTGTGCTGTGAATAATTCCTTAGACTAACACAGTAAAATGTCTATAATATATACTTATATACTTCCTTGGTCTGGAAAGCTATTTACCTGTCTGTGGAAAGTACCTATTCTGGATAAAGTTTTTATATACTTCAATCCTTGTAACACTTGGTGATGCAAACTCCCTCGCGTCCACACTTAGTGCTGAAAAGTCCTCTCAAAGAAGACGCCATTATTTTCACAAAACTTGTAGTTGTTTGTGAAAGACATATATTCTTAGGTATTTCTGAGGCTGTTACCTCTCTGGAAAAGCCAAGTGACAACGGCCACTTGTAGAGAAGTTGACAGCAGAGTTGGAAGGAGATGCAGGAATGACAGACAGCCATGCATTTGCTTCAGAAAGGTTTAAGGCAATGATTTTTCCTACAGATTCACCATCAGAAGGCTGGCAACGTGTAAAAAACAACTCTTACCTGGTTTATAGGACAAATCAGAACCATGGATAAAAATTCAAATTAGAATTTAAACTATCCTTAACTGGGAAAGTGTTTTTATATAGCATTCTCTTTCCACTTTCAATATCAGAACATCTTAAGCGCCATAAATTGGAGAAAAGGACTATGATTTAGTTTGGACTCCAGTTTTGGGAAAATAAAGTGTCTTTATGACTCCTGTTCAGTATGCAGGTATTTAAAACCTTTGTTTCCACTTCCTGGGTAATTGCTCACTTTCTTTACAGCTTGCTTCCTATCTAAGGCACAAAGAGGAAGATGGCATCTTCTGTAGACACCTAATACCACCCATTCGTGCACCACGTGCACTGCAGCATTAATTAGTAAACCGAAACTGGCTCCCTACTTCCCCTACCTTGAGACGGTAAACAGCAAAACACCACTATATTCTTGATAAAAAATTATATAAAATTACTTTAGATTTAGTTTGTATGTTTCGTGTCCTTCTTAAATTAGGACAGAAATTATATCCTAGCTCTTGTTTAGCAGCAAATATAATGCTGTGATTGGAAAAACAGCTAAGCGATGAATCTTCGCTCACCTGATGTCTCTCTGTAAGGTACTACATGGTACATCTCCACAAAATATATTACGTATTTTACATACTAAAAATCACATGTTAATAACCTTGTTCCACAAGCGACCGGATGCAATATGGATGCCAGCGTTGCAAAATGACCAGATTCGGTGCTTTAACAGCATCTTTTAGCTTTAAAAGACAAGTTTTCCAACCCACTGTCCTCAGCCTGTAATACTCATACGCCTGATGCCCACAGCGAAAGTCACAGGAACAGCAGCAACGCTGCAGGACGTCCCTGAACCTGGGTGACTCCAGGGAAAACCACCCAGAGCACAACTCACCCCTCTGCTCCAGCACTTTCTCGGGGGGCAGCACGGTCGCCACCTCCTTGACCTCTTCCATGACAACGTCCGCGTTGGCTCCCAGGATCTTCTTCAGCCTCTCCAGCTCCTTGGGCGCGTTCTTCTTCCTCTTCTCCGCCCTCATCTTCCTCCTCCATTTGCTCCTGAGGCTCTTGGCCATGGCCTGCGGGGGAGGAAGCGAGCGCCGTGAGCGCGCGGTCGCGGCGCGCACACGCGGTCGCGGCGCGCACACGCGGTCGCGGCGCGCACACGCGGTCGCGGCGCGCACACGCGGTCGCGGCGCGCACACGCGGTCGCGGCGCGCACACGCGGTCGCCGCGCGCACACGCGGTCGCGGCGCGCACACGCGGTCGCGGCGCGCACACGCGGTCGCCGCCCCTTCCCCGCTCACCCGCCGCGCACGAGGCCGCCGCCAGCCACCGCGCCAGGCCGCGCCGCCCGCGCGCGCATGCGCAGGATGACGCGGAGCCCCGCCCCTGGGCGCGGCCCCGATCGCAGGCCGGCCGGGGCAGGCGGGCCCTACCGTAACTCTCCGAGCGAGCGCGCAGCACCCCACGGCGGGATCGTGCCCAACCACCGCGGCGTGTCGAGGGCACGGGGATGGATGAACAAATAAACACGTGCTTCATCGCAGGGGAAAAAAGCGAGGGTTTATTCTTCGCTACTGCCACGCATTTCTAAATGAGGCAGAAAGAGAGAGAGCATCACAGTCGCTCAAACCAATCCGCAGTTGCACTTCAATAGCGTCAGTCCAGTTCCAGCACGGAAAACACACCTTGGCACAGCTTGTGGCAGGACATGGATGATTTCCCACCTACTGCGTTGCCTCGTCAATAAGACTCACTGACAGGCCAGGTGAGCAGTAACAACACTGCATAGGAAGTGAGAAAGCCTTTCAAAATTGTTTTTACCCTCTCTGCCCTTCCAGGATATCCAGAGTTTGGGAAGCAGCGACAGTCACGGTACCTCTCCCTGGCCAGTAAGGGTCTGCAAAGTTCATTCTCGGTACGCTGAAGTTCTCCAGTCTCGGTTGCAAGAACAGACTAAAGGCTTTTCGATTTTTATTGACACAATTAACCTTAACATACAGAAGTTGATAAAATCCCAGAATCTATCTCCAAATTATTTTTCAGGACACTGAAAGATAGGCCATAAATAATACTAAAAGGAAGAACATTCCCTTTACTGGTTTTAACACCCTCACAGCTTCCATAGTGACAGCCCTTAACAAGAACAGAGTATCTGTCAGAGACAGATAACAAATATTAAACAAAACAAATAACAATAATAAACAACAACTAGAAAAAATTTAGCTTAGTAAAATTTAGTAGCACAATGGTAAACTCAGGCTACCCTTATGTGATACACACAATTATGATCAGTCCCAAAGGAAACATTACCAGCAGCTACGGAACAGCAGAGAAGTATACTCTGGAGCAATAAGAAGTTGACAAAGTTTTTCATCATTAATTATGTCAATTGCAAATTAAGTGATTAAAAAAGTGACTGTAATGATGACAGCATGTTAACTGCATAAAATACATGGTCTAGAGAAGAACTGTAGCTACATAAAAAGCCTTTTTTGTCCCCTAAGGAGGGATAAATATTCATGGAATGAAAAAATAATACAGATTCAGTGTCTAAAGACAGAACTACTGAGTTTACAGATCATCCAAATTGCGCTATAGTCAAACCACACCACTTTTGGCTATTTTTTATTAAATGTTTCTAGTAAACGCAGCAGGTGTAAGAACAGATTGATGATGTCCAAGTAGAGATTGATTGCAGCCAGTATGTACTCTTCGGGGGACAATTTGTGCATCAGCAAATGAGTGTCATAAATAATAAATCCACAGAACAGAAGAGCTCCAGCAGCAGCAAACACCAACTCTATTGTCTCACTATAGAAAAACAGCTGGAGGCAGATAAAATATGAAAAAAATAATTGTAAATTTCATTTTCTTTTTAATATTAAAACTATGCATAACGATATGCCACACACTTTCTACTGTTATGTACACACAAACACGGTATTATGATGGCATTTCAATGTCCATTCAATGTCCCCAGTCACTGTCTCTTTAACTGAGTAAAAGTGCCTCCACATTTAAGAGGGAGGAAACTCTGATCTCCAGAGTATTAACAATTAGAAAAACAAAAGACAGTTAAAACCCAAATGATCTCCTTCCCATTCTCTCAGTCAAGTAGTGGGTCTCAATTGACAAATTTTGTCAATCAACACAGAGACCCCTTTAACATTGGCAAGAACAGCACCCAAAAAAATCCAAATTGCAAATGAGTGGTTAAAAGACCATCAGTGCGATCTAGAATGGTCATGGATCTGCTTAGGAATTTTAAGTTACACTGAGCTGTCCAACCCTTTTTGTACTACTAGAAGTTAGTAAAAGCTCAGGCTCTGAGCAACCTGGTCTAGTGGAAGGTGTCCCTGCCCGTGGCAGGGGTGGTTGTAACAAGATGATCTTTAAGGTCCCTTCCAACCCAAATCATTCTGTGATTCGATGAATATCTTGTAACCATGAACACAAGGTATCTTACCCTTAAGAAACCTGAGAAGATTAAAATCCACAAACAAGCGAAGAGGCTGAAAAAAAACATTATAAACTGTCAGCAACAATAAACAGTCTTTTAAACTTAAAATATCCTCCTTTCTTACAAAACTCCTTCTTAGATGCTAACTTTCATTGGTGTCAGAAGTAAGTTTTATAAAGTTGCGTTTTAACTTTAATTTTTTTTTTAAATATTTGAAACAGCTGCCTTCTGTCTCAGTGAAAATTCCAGGTAAACTAGTTTGTCTAGTGGTTTTAAGAATCATGATCACAGAAAAGAATTTACCAGAAAAGCAGAACTGTGTACAATTAATAATTTAAGATAAACAAAACCCTCACCACTCCCCTGAAGCAGGTTCTATTGACCTGTACTCCTTCTAATAGCTGCAAAGCTTGCTTTAAGAAAGAAAAAACAACCTTAACAAAAATTAGTTTTCTAAAAATCAACAATATGGCAACATACCCTGCTCCAAACTTGCTGAAGTCTCTCTTTGATTGCAAAGTATATGCAGTCAACCCAAGAAATACAGCAGTAGTAAGAATAAAGGCTTGCAAGACGATGGAGACATCGTAGAAACTAACTATAAACAGAAAAAGTAATCTGTCAATTAAAGAACACTGCACCACGTATTTGCTACGTTATCTTTTGAGGAAACAGAAGTTTAAACTTTCACAGACAGGAAAAAAAAATCTAAATTATGAACAAAAAAAAGTAAATTATAGCTGCACTTGTCTTTGCACTACAAATTCATGATCATGGGATTCAGGGGCCTTCCTCTAAGTTTGACAGTTATTTTACAGCTGTAGCTTCTTATATGGAAATAACAGGTTTTCCATACTCACAATTAAAAAAAACACAGCCAAAACAAAACAATAATATTTTAAGCATAAGTGAGATCTTAAGGGAAAAGCTATCCGAATTTTTCATGATACTGAAGTAAGGGGAAAAAACAAAATTCTCTCTATAGTGCAAAGTGATGCCATGATTTGTCCACACACCACCCCGTTTCACAACCCTGACCACGAAGTACAGAACTCTCCAAACTCAAATTCCCTTTGAGGGGAAAGATAGGGATATTTCAACTTTAAGATCAGCTCTGCTAAATGCTGCCTTGTAGGAAAGAACATTGATGGCTATACTGAAAGAATGGATGGCACAACTCATTTCTCACTTCAGGCTTGTACAGTTTCAGTTCTTGATCAGAATCCAGTTTTCTCCCTTGATTCCCTGTTTTTTTGCTAAACTCATATCACTGTCATTAAAATTTTCAAACAGGATTCCTGACTATTTTAGTCACAACTAAAAAACTCTAATGGCAATTCATACAACAGATTGTATTCCTTTTCCAAATTCTTTATGGAATCAGACAATAGGATGGCTACCATTTACCTGTAATGGCAACTGTCAGTGCTTCCAGCAGCGTCTACAAAAAGGAAAATAAAAAAATTACATGGATTAAAAAAATCAGACAACAAAACACATGGAGACTTCACATGCAATGAGTCCCACTCTGCTACAAAATCCCAGCACATGTTACATTAGGTCTCCTATTAAATCTTTGTATATGAAAACATGTTTAGTTTACAACAAGAAAATGGCAATCACACTGCCTTACTGTGTGGAACTTGTTTTACATAAAAAGTAACTTCTGTTATTTGTTTACATACAAACTGAAAATGAGTGAGAGATTGCCCCTAAGAAAAATGCCATTTACATTTTCTACTCAAAGCACGCAGCATTCTTATTACATTTCTTACAAATTATTCAAGAAGCTATAAAATTAATACATTCTTAATATCTTGTTAGACAGCTATCTAACACTAACATAAAGTGTCTGCATCAGATTCTTTTCCCCACTCATCCTTGTTTGGAAACAGCTAATTTTAAAACACATTCTGAATGCCTGGGATGAAGGCTAGTACAGATCCCAAGTTTTTCTAAATGATAATTTCAAATTGAGTTTCAACACAATAGAACATGAGAAGACTCTCTATGTCATGAACTGAGGGGTCAGAAATTTAACATTTAACCCATATTTTGTTTAAACCAATTTATCACACAGAGATTTGAATTCTTCCATTCCTATATAATGTAATACTCAAACTGTTATTTTACAATCTCCCACGCCACATTTGGCCAAACTGTTACATCACTTCTTGTTACAGCTTCACTTTTTAAAAGGTTTTTAAACATTTTATTCATCTGCAAGAGTTCAGAAGTCAGGAAGAATATAACTGTGTCACTATTTAAGCAATCTATTACTTATACAGCAAAGCTGTCTTTCTGTTTTATCACAAATACAATTTAGGAAATTTCTAAAGCATCAAATTCTAATTGAGCTGCTGTGACTCTTCAGAAGATTGATTTCTACATTATCCAAAATATCCAAGGGCACTCATTAGCCCATACCTAAAAACTCTCAACATCAGGCAGCAGACTGAAACTCAAGGACAGCTCTGACTCACCAGCCTGTGCTGGAAACATGCTCAGAATGTAGCATCAAAAAGACAACAATTGAAGAAATAAACACATAGGGCTGCTTTGGGCCTCTGCTGGAGGCCACCCATTAAGCAAATAAGGTAACAGGAATGCCTCCTCCTTTTCTACTGAGCAATTTCATAGCAAAATGCCTGATATCAACAGAACAACAAGAGCAGATAGATTTCTACACACACAGAGAACCCTGACCTAGCGGCTATCCAGGAACAACCTGTGGACAAAATCAGACCTTCACAAGCACATCAGATATCTTTCAAGGAAGACAAGAAAAACAAATTACCTATCAGTAGTTTCAAGGAGTTCATCACAATACAAAATATTCTAGAGACTATTAAAATTGAATTTTTAAATACTTACAAATCCAAACAGGAGGTA